GAAGGACATCAAGATCCTAAGATATCCTCATTGCTATATCATTCTTCTACAGCTCAATCAGTTGAATCTATTAGAGAAGAATTAAACAAGAAATTGGATACAGGTTTGAAATAGATTATTTGAAAATCCAACGAAATTTTGATATTTTCTTAGCAAAAATATCTGAAGAAGATGAAAAAGTTGTCATTAATAATCGATCATTTATTGGTTCTGCTATCGTCAAACGAGTCAAACCATGTCCAAATTCTTCATGTCAGAAACTCAATATTAAAATAGGCGATGATAATTTGATTATATGTAACGATTGTTTCGAGCAATATTGTTTTTCATGCGCGAAACCCATTAATGGATTGCAACATTTTCAAAGAAAATGTGATCGTTATACATCAGTTTAATTCATCAGAAAATTACTTTCATACACGTATACATCATATGCTCGCGCGTACATAGACATCTTTATTGAAATATATCCAAGAATTCATCGGCCCATCCATAGATGTGTCGTCTCTACGTCGATCGCCCGCGCCTTCTTATCACAATGAGGGGCTGCAGAATACCTAACAAGCAGAATTCAGAATTTAAAATTCCAATCGGTAAACCATGGATTCCCCATGAAAAGAAACTTTCAATAAGCATACCACGAAGGTATATATCCGCCAGCCATGAAAATCTAGTAACGAATTTAAAGATGCAAGCAGAATTAAAACAGAATTCTGCTACAGCTAACAGAATACAAAGTTTCAATAGACATACGACGAGTGTATATATCCACAAGGAATAAACTTCTAGTGAAGAATATAAAAATACAAGCAGAATTTAAATAGAACTCTATTACAAGTAACAAAATATAAACACTCAATAGGCCTATCAGAAGTGTATATATCCATCAGCAATAAACTTCTAGTAAAGAATTTAAAGAGAATTCTGCTACCAGTACGAGAATACAAACTTTCAATAATCATAGAAGGAGTGAATATATTCACGAGGAAACTTAAACAGAATCCTAATACCCCTAACAGAATACAAACATCCAAGAGGACATACTATAAGGTCCTATATCGACTAATAAAAAGTTCTACTAAACAATTTTTAAATTAGCAGTAGAACTCAAAATAGAATATTTTTACGCCTAACAGAATGCAAACTTTGAATGATCGAACTAGAATTGTATGCATTCAAGATAAAAGAAATTCTGCTAAAGAATTTAAAAATACCAGCAGAATTTAAACAAAATTCAGGTTTTATAAGCAGAATACAAACTTTCAATAAGCATACTAGAGACTACACATCTATCAGGAAAAAATTTCTAGTAAAGAATTAAAAAAAACCCTAGCAGAATGCAAAACAGAACTCTAATATCGGTTAAAAATAGATCAATTCCTTAAGATAAATTCCCAATAGGAATTAAACTACTAAGTACCACACTAACCTGTCAGGAAGTATTCTATAGAATTCTGACTACAATAGAAATAGACCAGAATGGAATATATAGCGTTTGATAACATAAAAATGTATAAAATTCTGTAGAACTCTAAGGAAAATTTAAATGGATCAGAATGGGATATGTTGTCTTCGATGACACAATTCTATAGAATTCTAAGCAGAATGCTATTACCACGAAAAAATATAAACTTTGAATAGCCATACTATAATGTTATATGTCCAAGGGAAAAATAAAAGTCTGATGAAGTTTTTAAAAACATCGGCAGAATTTAAAAACAGAATTCTGTTATCACTAACAGAGTATCAATTTTCAATAGCTATACTTGAATTCAATGGCATATCTGCAATAGAAAAAAAAATCCTTCTGAAGAATTTTAAAATATTAGGAGAATTTGAAATAGAATGCTGTTACAACTATCGACGTATAAGCTTTCAATAGGTATACTAGAATGGTATATCTCAATTAGAAGAGAAAAACTCTTATGAAGAATTTAAAAACATAAGGAAAATATAAAACACAATTCTGAGACGAGTAACAGAATTTAAACTTGCTGTATGAATACTAGAGTTCTACATCTCCTAGTGAGGAAAGAACATTGTTTTTCATAGCACAGAGTTCTACAGACTTATCAGCAGAATTTAAACAGGCTGGAATGAAAGCCGTCATCTCTGATGATACAGAATTCTACGAAATNTATTGATTATTGTTTTTATTAGTCACTATCCGATTTAATATATATTCTCAGTAAAATTCATAGAGTATTGAAATTCATGTTTCCTTTATTCTAAAATAATGATTTGTGTGTAATTTTTTTATTACGCAAAATACCCACATACTATGAACATAGAAAATTACATAATCAAACTGTTGAAAATGATCGTTTATCTTTAATTTTTTCTAGTTTTGTTTCAATGTACTTTGTTTTATCGTTTGAACAACATGACGGCTGTTCAGAGTTGAAGGAAGTGGAAGTGGGGAAGGTCGAAAAGGTAATAGAGTCCGTTGGATCAGTTCCATAATTTTCGACGTTTTATTGGTTTTTTTTGGCTCATTGATTTCTAAAAAGCGCTCAGCATCGCCACCTTCGAATTCAGTCAACTTTAGCAAAAATCTCCCAATCGATCTCTTGAGTCATCGACTCTCTTCCTCCCAATTCGGGTAATCTCAAAACACTTCTGGACAATATTAATGTCAATTTGTTTCAATTTTTAATAAACTCTTCTGCTTAATTGTAACTTTGTTGTTGTCTTTCATGTGTACCATGCACTTTATCAAGAAACATTGAACGATAATCTTCTATAGGTAGGACTCTTTTGAAACATTTAATAAATTGATTTGTTTTGGCACAATTGTGATTTTGCGCTGAAGAGAACCCATTGAAGTTATTTCATTTACCTAAGATTATAATGTCGAATTTGAACAGTATACATATGTATTTATATATTTAGTATAATTTAGTTCAATAAATGAAAGAAGTTTACTCAAACATTCATCAACAGTTCGACAGGAAATTGTCATTATCATATGGAGTAGATGAATTAGTCCTAGTGACTTCTGTTCAGTACAAAATTGAATTTGTGACAAAGCAGACCAATTTATTAAATGTTCCAAATAATTCAATATAAAGGTACAATCAAACAAAAGAATTCGTTAATTAAATGTAGTCAAGTTCAACAATGCTCAAGCTATAAACGAATACACTTAGTTGAAGATTTTTTGGCATTTCGAGACAGAATATCGATTTTAGAAAGACAATACGATTTATCAAAAAAATGCAGAAAGACATAAATCACTATTAGAACAAGAGAAACATGAATTTCAATTTAGTCAAAATACTTTTCGATCACTCGTTATAAGAAAGAATTTCTAAAAATATTTGTTTACAATGAGAAATATTTGATCTGAAGGTTTTCAAATAAAAATGAATATGCAAATAATGACATACTTTTCTTGATGGATTCCATGAAGAACATTCATCATCTTCTTCTGACGACGATGTCTCATTTAATTTTTTTGATGTTGACACTGGTACACTCTAATAAAAAAAAAAACAAATAAGAAATTAAATATCCTTATTATAAATAATAATATGCTTACACGAACGAGAACTCTATATTTTAAATCTTCTGGTGATGGTAAAACATGTAGATCTTTATTGGATAAATGTTTTGTAACCAAACAATCTATATTGACATGAAAGTTATACGTATCAGAATTATTTTCTTACCACCAAGGCAATTTTCCAAAATTCGAACCAGTTGTTTTTGTTGTGCGGGTGAACAATGATTTTCAATATTAAAAATAACTGGATAACTAATAAATAAATAAGTCAATAAATAACCTAATACGTAAAGGTCTTTGTACAAATAGATTTATGCGATGTTCAACAATTCAAACCTAACTATTGAGCATCCACAGTAGCTGGTTAGAATTATAACTTTGTGCTCTTTTGAAGTATGTGTTCAAAATGCTTCTCGGACTTAAGATTGGCTAGGAGCATACAAATACTTAACATTAATAAAATGTTAAGTATGTACAGAACTTAAAAGAGTCACATTTGCTCTACAAAATTTCATATTTACTTTTTTTTGTACTCCAAAGCAAAAGCACGACAGATGACTATAAGTAAGGTTTTCGATGATATTTGACTACGTCAAGGAATCTATGTACATTTCGAGAGAAGGTCTTTCTCTATCTAATAGTATGTGCATTATTAAGTTCTACTGTGTAGTGTTGACATATCCACAAAAAATTCAATTTTTTTTCACAAAATACTATTTCACATTGAAAGTAGTTCTCAGGAAACCGTGTAACTTTTGATTCTCACTAGTTACATTTTAGTTTTCAAAAGATAGACAAAGATATTGGGCTATGATTTTTTTTATTAGTGTCAAGTATCTTTACTAGAGTTCTGTGGAACAAACTTTTTGTATTCAGAAATTTTTTTTTGAATTGCCACGTCGGCTGAAAGTCGACTAATTGTTGATTCATTGCTTTTTACTAGTTTCATTGCCATGAAAAATTCATCTTCTTCTTCTCTATGCATTGCCGATATCGTGAGAATGTGACGAGTGCACATATGAAATCCGTTTTTTTTTAATTCGATCCCGTTCAGAGGCTATTCAAATGCGGAAAACAATAATTAACAACTGAGAATTTCTTCATATGAACATAATGACTCAATCTGAAAAAGACTATTGATATTTCAGATGCTATGTGAAATAGTTTATTTATATGCGAATAGTTAACTCAAAATCATTAGTTCTTAACTTGTCGGTTGAGTCAAGATAGGTGAACACAACTGAAATAATCTATTTCTTTATCTGTTCTGTTTTTCAATTATTTATTAAAATATTAAGATATTTGTTAGAAATAAAAAATCTGAAGTATGCACGACGTTTTGATATAAAGATTAAAAAATTCCGGGACATGGGTTTTTTTCTATACCGTTTCGTCTCGAAAAAGTTTTGAGACAAATGCGATTGTCTCATACGACTTTAATTTATACGCTGCTAATCAATTTTGAATTAGAGAAAAATTTATAATACACATTCCGAAAGAGCACAAAGTTACGGTTGACTCTCAATAGTTGTGTTTGAGCGATCGAAACTCGAATAAATATTTTTGTGCAAAGACATTCATGCAGTAGGTTAAATGAAAATAAACATATTCTAAATAATTACGGAGAAGCTTTAAAAAGATTTGGTTGTATAAGACGAATAATTGATTCAAAAGGACATGGTTTTACAAGTGTAAAAGCATGTTTAACTATCGGTTGACCATCATCACCATCATAACAATCAAATTCAAGAGCTCTACAGCCCATCAATAATACTCGATTATATGCTTCTGGATTACTATCACCGGATAGTTGACTGTAGAATAAATAACTAGAATATAAAAATTTCATTCAATAATAAAAATAAATTAATCTTTATCGATTCATACGTATTATGGGAAGTATTAATATAATAATCACATAATGGTCTAAAACAATAAAATAAAAAATTTTAATATATGTCTATGTATATTTCTCCTTCATATCTTGATATATTTCAGNTATTGATTATTGTTTTTATTAGTCACTATCCGATTTAATATATATTCTCAGTAAAATTCATAGAGTATTGAAATTCATGTTTCCTTTATTCTAAAATAATGATTTGTGTGTAATTTTTTTATTACGCAAAATACCCACATACTATGAACATAGAAAATTACATAATCAAACTGTTGAAAATGATCGTTTATCTTTAATTTTTTCTAGTTTTGTTTCAATGTGCTTTGTTTTATCGTTTGAACAACATGACGGCTGTTCAGAGTTGAAGGAGGTGGAAGTGGAGAAGGTCGAAAAGGTAATAGAGTCCGTTGGATCAGTTCTATAATTTTCGACGTTTTATTGTTTTTTTTTTGGCTCATTGATTCCTAAAAAGCGCTCAGTATCGCCACCTTCGAATTCAGTTAACTTTAGCAAAAATCTTTCAGTTGATCTCTTGAGTCATCCACTGTCTTCCTCCCAATCCGGGTGATCTCAAAACACTTCTGGCCAATATTAATGTCAATTTGTTTCAATTTTTAATAAACTCTTCTGCTTAATTGTAACTTTGTTTTTGTCTCTCAATCTGTATCATGCACTTTATCACGAAACATTGAACGATAATCTTCTACAAGTAGGACTCTTTTGAAAAATTTAATAAATTGATCTGTTTTGGCACAATTGTGATTTTGTGCTGAAGAGAACCCATTGAAGTTATTTTTATTTACCTAAGAGTATAATGCCGAATTTGAACAATATACATATATATTTACATATTTAGTATAATTTAGTTCAATAAATGAAAGAACTTTACTCAAACATTTATCAATAGTCCGACCGTAATTGGCATTATCATATTGAGTAGATGAAATAGTTCTAGTGACTTATGTTCAGTACAAAATTGAATTTGTGACAAAACAGACCAATTTATTAAATGTCCCAAAGAATTCAATATAAAGGTATTATCAAAGAAAAGAATTTCTTAATTAAATGTAGCCAAGTTCAACAGTATTCAAGCTATAAACGAATACACTTAGTTGAAGGTTTCTTGGCATTTCGACACAGAATATCGATTTCAGGAGGGCATAAATCACTATTAGAACAGGAGAAACATGAATTTTAATTTAGTCAAAATACTTTTCGATCATTCGTTATAAGAAAGAATTTCTAAAAATATTTGTTTGCAATGAGAATTATATGATGTAAAGACTTTCAAAAAAAAAAAAAAATATGCAAATAATGACATACTTTGCTTGATGGATTCCATGAAGAATGTTCACTAGCTTCTTCTGACGACGATGTCTCATTTGATTTCTTTGATTTTGCCACTGGTACACTCTAATAAAAAAGAAAACAAATAGGAAATTAAATATTCTTATTATAAATAATAATATACTTACACGAACGAGAACTCTATATTTTAAATCTTCTGGTGATGGTAAAACATGTAGATCTTGATTGGATAAATGTTTTGTAACCAAATAATCTATATTGATATGAAAGTTATACGTATCAAAATTATTTTCTTACCACCAAGATAATTTTTCAAAATTCGAGCCAGTTGTTTTTGTTGTGCGGGTGAACAATGATTTTCAATATTTAAAATAACTGGATAACTAATAAATAAATAAATAAATAACCTAATACGTAAAGGTCTTTGGATACAAAAAAGAATTTATTCGATGTTCAACAATTCAAACCTAACTATTGAGAATCAACAGTAGCTAGTTAGAATTATAACTTTGTGCTATTTTGAAGTATGTATTCAAAATATTTCTCTGACTTAAGATTGGCTAGCAGCAAATAAATACTTAACATTAATAAAATATTAAATATGTACAGAACTTAAGAGTAATATTTGCTCTACGAAATTTCATATTTACTTTTTTTTGTACTCCGAAGCAAAAGCACGACAGATGACCAATTAGCAAGGTTTTCGATTATATTTGACTACGTCAAGAAATATATGTACATTTCGAGAGAAAGTCTTTCTTTATCTAATCGTATATGCATTATTAAGTTCTACTGTATAGTGTTGACATATTCACAAAAAATTGAATTTTTTTTGACAAAATACTATTTCACATTGGAAGTAGTTCTCAGAAAACCGTGTAACTTTTGATTATCATTAGTTACATTTTAGTTTTCAAAAGATAAACAAAGATATTGTGCTATGATTTTTTTTTATTAGTGTCAAGTATCTTTACTAGAATTCTGTAGAACAAATTTTTTGTGTTTAGAAATTGTTTTTTTGAATTTCTCCGTCGGCTGAAAGTCAACTAATTGTCGATTTATTGCTTTTCACTAGTTTCATTGACATGAAAAATTCATCTTCTTCTTTTCTATACATTGCCGATATCGAGAGAATGTGCCGAGTGCACATATGAAATGCGTTTTTTAAAAATTCGATCCCGTTCAGAGGCTATACAAATGCGGAAAACAATAATTAACAGCTGAGAAGTTTTTCATATGAACATAATGACTTAATCTGAAAAAGACTATTGATATTTCAGATGCTATGTGACATAGTTTCCTTATATGCAAATAGTTAAATCACACTCATTAGTTCTTGACTTGTCGGTTGAGTCAAGATTGGTGAACACAACTGAAATAATCTATTTCTTTATCTGTTCTTTTTTCTGTTGTCTATTAAAATATTAAGATATTTGTTAGAAATAAAAAAAAATCTGAAGTATGCGCGACGTTTTGATATATAGATTAAGAAATTCTGGAACATGGGTTTTTTTCTATACCGTTTCATCTCGAAAAAGTTTTGAGACGAATCCAATGGTCCCGCACGATTTTAATTTATTCGCTGCTAAACAATTTTGAATTAGAGAAATATATGTAATACACATTCCGAAAGAGCACAAAGGTATACTTTTAACTATTAATTACTGTTGACTCTCTATAGTTGTGTTTGAGCGATCGAAACTCGAAGTAAAATATTTTTGTGCAAAGACATTCATGCAGTAGATTAAATGAAAATAAACATATTCTAAATAATTACGGAGAAGTTTTAAAAAGATTTGGTTGTATAAGACGAATAATTGATTCAAAAGAACATGGTTTTACAAGTGTAAAAGCATGTTTAACTATCGGTTGACCATCATCACCATCATAACAATCAAATTCAAGAGCTCGACAGCCCATCAATAAGACTCGATTATATGCTTCTGGATTACTATCACCGGATAGTTGACTGTAGAATAAATAACTATAATATAAAAATTTTATTTAATAATAAAAATAAATTAATCTTTATCGATTCATACGTATTATGGGAAGTATTAATATAATAATCACATAATGGTCTAAAACCATGAAATAAAAATTTTTTAATTTTTGTCTATGTATATTTCTGTTCATGAATCTGTACCTTGTCATATCTTGATATATTTCACGAGAAGACGACGATTCCGTAATATCAAAATTTCTTGATAATAACATATTTCGAAAACCTTTAGAGAAATTTGATTTTTGTTCTCTTAACTATTTATGGAAAAAATAATAGAAACATACCGTCAAGACTTAAAAAACCTTTTTCACGAAATTCAGTATTCATTTCAAATTCATCAATTACTTTCTGTGCTTGATTTAGACTGTCAACATGATTCATCTATTGAAAAGATGAATTAATTGTTGAAAAAAACTAAAATAATAAATTTTATTTACATTTTGATTTCTTGTTAGTCGAAGAAAATATAATAATTCATTTTTATCCATATAAATATTTTCCATTGTTTGTTGATATCCAAATTTTGCAATTCTATCAGAAAAAAAATGAAATTGAATAATTTGAATAATATTAGTTAAAAATTACTTTTTCATTATGTCATAAAGATCTTTACGCTGTGTTAACATTTTAAAAAAGCTTATAAATTCTTTAGGATTCAAAGAACCATGTTGAGTTTGATGTATATTCTAGAAGTAAAAAAAATCATACTATTAAAACAAAATATAAAAGAAATTTTACATGAAACATTTGTTCAAATATATTATCAGGCATTTCAATGTTTAAAGAATTTGCCAGTAGATCACGACATTCTTTTTTGGATAATGTATTAGACTTATTTTTATCAGCAGCATGAAAATATTCCAAAATCCAACTATAATAAACAAAACTTATGATGAAAAAGTTTTCTTTTTTTCTACTTTTCTTCTCCAATTAAATGATGTTGACGTTTTTGTGAACGCTGCTCTACCAAATGTTGTAAACCTTTTACCCATGACTCTCGTGTTTCTATATCAGATGCAATAAAATGTGCTTCTCTTCGATGATTATCATATATGATCGAAAAAGCAAGATTTTGCTAAATAAATTAAATTAATTTAAGGAAAAAATATTTAATCAAATTTTGAATTTTATACATCAGCTGATTTGATTTTACCACGTTTAATAAGTTGATCAAATGTTTGTGATTGAAATCCTGTTCTAATTTCATCAATATCATTTAGCTGATCTAAATAAAATAAATCAAATTTAATATGATTAAATCTATCAAGTGTAAACTTACATATTCGTGGTTTACCACGAAATTTATTCGATTTATCATATGTTATGTAACCTTCCCGTTCGTGAAGAAAAAAGTAACGAGAATACTTTTTTCCACTGGGCTTGTGTTTGACTAAAACTGTACCCGATTTAAGTTGATGTATTAATTGAGCTACAGCATCATCGGTATTTGCCATTAATCCTGTTGATTTCGTTATTTATCAAAAACAAGATAATAAAATGAAAGAGACAAAGTAACATAAAAAAGAAGTTGATAACCATCAATTTACGAACATAAATCCTACTCAGTTTTATCAATATTATCTTTTCTCGTTTATACGATCATTATCTATTGACATGTTACATTTTTTAAATTCTTTATAGAACAAGATTGGCCTTCTTATTTCTTTTGCTTATTCAAGGGTAAGATTTCGTAGCATAAATAAGAGCAAATAAAGGTTAACTTGACAAGATTCAATGACTAAACAAAGTAGTTGTATTTTATTTCTGCTTTTTTTCTTCAATAAACAAGTAGCGCATAAAGTTATAATGTTTTTTCAAATAGAAATGATTACCCTGGTATTGATCAAAATGCAATCAGCTACTACTAAAGTATGTTTATTGAATTTAGAGAAAAACATATTTTGTTATTTTTTTTCTTTTGAATCACTTCGACATATCTCGTTCCTGATACATAACTAAAGCTTGTTTAAAAAAATAATGCCTGCGAGTATTTTTGCAATAACTCAAGGACAGAGAGAGCTATAGAACTGAAGTTTTCACCAGTCGAAAGAGGAGATATCTCGGAAGGTTCTATTCTCCAATATTGTATAAGACGAAATCATTATTAAATGAATCATTTCTGCAAAAAATGCAAGTAAACGATTAGTCTTTCACATGAAATTTTAGATGTGATATATGATTTAGATAGAAGGATTTGAGATCTATAGTCTAAGATATAATTCGAATGATTATCTTCAAACATCCTAATGTTAAACTAATACAATTATCCATTTATTATCTCGAAAAATATGGATTTCTCTTTATTTTTTCGATGTTTTGTAAGAAATAGTTGATTTTAAAATGATTTCGTCTTATATAATATTGGAGAAAAAGACGTCTCGATGTCTCATCTTTCGACTGATGAAAACTGCAGTTCTATACGTCTTTTCGTTCTTGACTTATTTCAAAAATATCCATGGTCATTATTTTTTTCATCAGGCATTAATCATTGTTTATAAAACTACGATACTGCTCTTTGACAAAATGTGAAATCATTGAAAACATAATTCTATAGTAAACTTATTGAATTCAGAATATTATACGAGTATTTCACTTTTTTTTCACAGATATGTCATGTTCATGTATTCAAATTTTACCAATTTTGTAGCATCTCAATATGCATCTATTCAAGAAAGAAAGAAAAACAATAAGGAAATTCTTCTTACATACGTAAATGCTTTGAATTTCTTAATCCAGATGTGTCACAACTATTGAGAAATAAATGAAATATAGTAGTTGAAAAAAAAAGAAGCATATAACACATTATTTACTTACGATTTGTAAAAGAAAAATCTCTATATAAAACTAACGAAACGACAAAAAAAGAAATCATTGCACGTGGATGCTTTAGTCAAGCAATAAAAAAAAAACAGAACGGTTTACCGTTTGTCTGAGATGTAATTACTCATAGTGAATATTGTGCTTTTAAAACAAAACGTTTTTTTTTTCACAAGGCTTCCAATAAGCATTTTAAATTAAACAGTACAGAAAAAAAAATCAGTAATCTTTGTCTATAGATCATTTCAGACAAAACGAAGCATACCCATCTTTGATTTGATTGTGATTCTTTACAAGAATTATTTTTCTAAATAATTTCTTTTTAGCATTGATATATAGAAAAATGTTCATTCCTTCAGCTGATTATTAAAGAGACTTCCTCTCTTCTTCTCGTGATTTCTCGAGAACGACTCAAGGAAAAAATGATGAAGGTTTCAACGCAAATAGAGTTCGATAGGTAGAGTAAAAACTGTAGTGTCTTGTGGAAGCAACTGTTTCGGTTCCCGTTTCTACATCATCATTTCCATATACTTTTACTGTTTCCATTACTATTTAATTTTTCGTGTTTGAGAAAAACTATCATTACGAGACACTAGCTTTTGTCAACGTTGCACTTTGCACAATATGAAATAGTCTTCAATTAAAAATAAAATTATTGTTGGAGGTACATTTTAGTAAACTAAATCAATTATTATTTATGCATCAAAATTTATCAAGACTAAGTTAAGAGAATTTTTTTTTTCATCAATTAAACCACTTGAAAGAAAGAAAAAAAGGCAAGCACATCAGCAATATCGATGAAAGAAACCAAAAAATTCAAGAGAAGAAGGTAATAATAATGCTAGATTGCGAGATGATCTGAAAAATACTCCTTTTGAAGAGGATCATTACAATTAAAGTAAATAATAGTTGTTCTAAAATTGAATTAAATTCTAATGAATAATGAATGAACTTTTCTAATTTATGTTGACAGATATTTATTATTTCCTTTTTATATTAATAATCGATGCAAAAGTCTTTCGAAGAATGTCAAAATATATTTCTCAATAATGTAACATCGTATTGATTTTGACATTGTTTTTTGAAAGAGCAGAGCTCGGAGATAATACAAATAAAGCAAAAGAAACCGATTTTCGAGAATGCCCATTTAGAATATCGTTTCCCTGCTAGTGTTTTTTAAAGCTGCTGAATGTCGCAGGAACAATATTTTGAAGAAAAAAAGCATCCACATCAATTTAACGAAAATACTAATTAAAAAAAAAATCGAGGTCGATCGAACGTTCTTTGTGAAAGAAAAGGGGAAGCAACTTCGTTTTATTTTTTTCACATATATATGTTACATGCAAAATTAAACTTCGGCAGAATTCGTTGTAGTTAGGCACGAAAGAGCGAATTTCTTTTTATTAATTCTTGTTCTCACTCTAGTTGTTTTTATAAAATGTAAACAAAACAGCACAACATTTATTTTCATATGTCTAATCGCATCATAAGTACACCAATGTTTTTCTTTCAACATCAGAAGTTGAATCTCGAAAACAATTTTACGAACAAGCAAGTGAAAATCTTAAAACTTTAAATAATAAATTTCAAGAAAAGGCAGTTATCACACAAGCCACGAATGAGAAGATTCTTCCTTATCTTATAATAATAGGTGTTCATCAAGTTCACCAAATTGCGATTCACGTTGTACATTTTGGTGTCGCACATCTTTTGTCGCACTAAACACTGACTTGAAATTTTTACTATATGGTGCAAAAAACTACGTTAGTATAAGAAGCGATATGCGATATTTATTATGAGCGTACTCATTTTAAAATGACTCATACATTTGACTATAAATGTCTAGATAGTTTATTGATGAACTACAGCTACCCAGACCGACAAGATCATTGAAAACAGGCGTTCAAACTCGTTAAAATGCGTAACTTTTTCAAAACTTACACATTTTTTGTCAGTGTCGCTATTGATTTTATGAGTTCAATTGCATTCATAAGATTTGATACATTTTACTACAGTACTGTCTTATAGACAACTCAAATTATTCTTTTTCCTTAGGTAGTGGTATACTATGTTCAATATAGGCTCATTTTAGGTCAACTTTTAAACAGAATTTAATACTTTTATATAAACTTCTTGCCTGATGAATGTTAACATGTAGATTGTTAATTCGAAGGCAGCATGTCTAGCATTTATGCAACATACGTGTAGGTGTTCATGCCTATTGAAATTTTACTTTTGCAGAATTATTTATTTATTTTTGAATTAGATAGTAACTGTATTTTTTTCTTTCGTCTGAATCATACATGTGCTCTTTGCTTGCTCTCTCGGTGAACAATTAAGAAAAGAATCGCTTCTCGTATTTTAGGCATAGTTGTCAGATGAAAAACTTAAAAATCAGAAAATCGTGTTTTCCAAATCACAAAAAAAAGCAGAAATATTTCTCCGAAATCGGAAATTAATCAGGAAGAGTAACTTATTACAAATCAAGGGCTAGCATGTTGGTATACTAGCACGAAATGCTTCATTTTTATTTATTTATCGACTCATACTTTATTTCCAAAAGTATTTCATAGTAAAGAAAGACAATACAAACATTATATAGCTTAGAGTAAAAGATCATGTACTGTAAGCTAAGAAGATTGATCATAGTCGGATCAAATGAATGCTTTCACTGTCAAACCAACTAATTAAAAATATGAGCTATCAATAGCACATACAGATCGAGATATTCGAGTTTCAAGAAATTTACAGTTTGTAATTTGTCCACACTACGATATTTCATCAACCCTTAGTTTTCTTTTTCCGTCAAGGTTGTATGGAGCACGACCGTTTACATAAAAAAAACAATATCACGCATATTAAAAAGCAAAATCTAAGACGTCTACAAAAACATTTTTTTTTAATTATAAGGGTAATAAACAAAAAAACCTAATTGCTGTCAAACTGCTTTTGAATATGTGTGATATTGTTTCTTCTGATGTAAATAGTCGTGTTCCATCCAACCATGACGAAAAAAGAAAACTAAGGGTTAATGAAATTTCGTAGTGTGGGCACATGACAAACTGTATATATCTTGAAATTTAAACATTTTGGTGTGTGAGTGAAAGCATTCATTTGATTCGACTATGAATAATCTGCTTGATTTGCAGTTAGATGGCCTTCAATTGTTAGTTATTGCAAAAAAAAAACTAGCAAGACACCTAGTATTGGATATTTTTACGAAGCCCAAAACTCTGTTTACGAAAAATATGCGCAAAAAAATCATATATAAACTATGCAGATAAAAAAATTTTACGAAAAATAATAAAGGCTATAGAACATAAATTTCATATTATTTTTCAAGTTTTTCTTCCTTTGAAATTCCTTCCATAAATGTTTTTGAGCTAAAATATGTTTACAAAATTGTTCAAAAAAAAAAGATTAGCATTCATTCTTAAGTTCAGCAACGCAAAATTCGTCAATGGCTGCAGAACTCAGAAACTACAAGAGATTAAGAAAGGAAAGAAGATAGCGCAATACGGATCTACTTTATTAATGAGTTATAGTCGTAATTAATTTTGCTAGAAAACCATCTTCTAAAAATGCTTGGAATCAGCAACAAATCAGAAAAATCCGAAGATCTGGCAACCCTGATTTT